ATTGTGGCTACTACTGGGGCTTCTGCCTCAGCATACGTAACCAAGGATGACCTTGCTTCAGCCTTAGCCGGTTTACAAAATATGATCACTGGGATGATTGCATCAATTTCTCAGGGATAGATCCCGGCACTAGAACCACCAATCCTGAAGCAGGAATGAGTGGAGCTTGAGGGTGAGGAAGAGCTGGAGGAAGGTCAGGCAGTAGAATTTCTGTCGGAGGTGTCACGGTCTGAAGAGAAGCAGGAGGTCCCTGCTCCCAGTCTCAGAGATTTGTAGTCCAAGACCTCACTGATATGGTACGGTCTGCATTCAGGCTACCTCCAATAGAAACCTCTGAGGTTACTTATTCTTCTCTGGGCTCTTTGAAGTCTCCACAGAGTACTCAGACCTTTCCGCTGCATTCTCTTCTGGAGCAAATGATATATTCAGACAGGGTTTTTGTTCCACCAAAGAAGTTTTCTGTTTTGTACCCCATGGAACAAAAGTTTGTCAAGAAATGATGGTTGCCTGTAGTGGGTGCAGCTGTTTCATCCCTGAATAAAACTTTAATATGTCCTGTGGATAATGTAAAGGTTTTCAAGGACCCAGCACTTAAGAAGCTGGAGTCTCTCCTTAAGGCCTCCTTCTCCCTGGCAGGTTCTGCCACACAGCCAGTGGTGGCAGCTATTGACATTTGCCAGAGTCTTTCTGACCATGTAAAGCAACAGATTGGAAGACCATCAGGGCAGGGGAAATGCTCGGCTGAGGATTTGGAGAATATTCCATGTGCTTTGTGTTTCACAGTTGATGCTCTTAAGGATTCAATTCAGCAAATTTCTAACTTGGCCCTCTTATCAGTGCATATGCACAGGGTTTTGTGGCAGAAGAGTTGGTCAGCAGAACTGCCAAGCAAAAATTTGTTGGCAGGTTTTCTTTTTCATGGGGAATGGCTGTTTGTGGAAGATTTGGACAAATATATCCAAAAGATGTCAGGGGGTAAAAGTACTCTTCTACCTGCTAAGAGGAAGTCTAAAAGCCCTTCTTTTAAGGTGTCAGGGGCTTTGGTTGCTGGGCCCTCATCTACCAGGCAGTTGTTTCACCACACACAGGTCCCAGCCTCCAGGGGTAGATCTTAGAATCAAAACCCAAGGAGGCCCTGGGTCCAAAAGTAATCCAAGACAGATCCAAAGTCTGCCTCCTTATGAAGGGGGCGCCCCCACTTGTTTGGGTGGGGGGGAAGGCTTTTGAATTTTGTGGTTTCATGGAGGGTTCTAATCCAAGACAAATGGGTCATTTCCACAATTTCTCTGGGGTACAGACTAGAATTTGGGGTATTTCCCTCTCCCCGGTTTCTAAGATCAAATGTACCAACAAATCAAGAAAAAAGAAGAGCTTTATTTTAGGCACTCGATTGCCTATTGGCTCCAGGAGTAATCGCTGAGCTTCCAGTGGGCGAAAGGTTTCAAGGGTTTTATTCAAACCTGTTTACAGTCTCAAAACCAGATGGGGATGTAAGGCTCATTTTGGACCTCAAGAGGCTAAATCAGTTCCTATATGTCCAATCCTTTCGTAATGGTATCAGTTCAGTCAGTAGTGGCCTCAGTAGTGGAGGGAGATTTTTTGGCTTCCGTAGACATCAAGGACACATACTTTTATGTACCGATATTCATATCTCACCAAAGATTTCTGTGGTTTGCAGTAGGGGCTCAGCAATTCCAGTTCATAGCACTACCGTTTTGGCTGACCACGGATCCCAGAGTTTGCACAAAAAGGTTTGCTCCAGTGTTGGGGATACTCAGGACTAAGGTGAGTATTGGTCACAGGTTATCTAGACGTTCTCTTGTTAAGAAATCAGTCTGTGCCAGATCTGAAGCAGGATGTGGTCCTTACGATGCAGATCCTGGAACAGCTGGGCTGGGTGCTCAACCTCAAGAAGTTGGCCCTGGAACAAGTGCAGAGTCTGGAGTATTTGCGGATGGTCCTAGACAAGGTTCAGGCAAAGGTGTTTCTGTCTCCAGGGAAACATTGCGACCTGAAGAACGAGATTTGCACTTTGAAGGCCAAGAGGTATCCTTCAATTTGCCTCTGTAAAATGTTTCGGGGAAAGATGGTGTCCTCATTCAACTCTATTCCCTATGCTCAATTCCATACCAGACAGCTGCAAAGGTACATTCTGTCTGTTTGGAACAAATAGATTCCGGCCCTGGATTACTGCATATCTGTCTCCAGAGGTGCAGCAGATCCTGAATTGGTGATTGATAAGTCACAATTTTGTAGAAGGGAAGATCCTTTTGGCTAGTGGTGTGGAAGTTGGTAACCACCGATGCAAGTCTATCAGGTTGGGGGGCTGTTCTGGAGGAGGCCACAGTTCAGGAAACATGGCGTCCACGGCAAAGGGTTCTTCCCATCAATGTCCTGGAACTTTGAGAAGTGAGGCTGGCTCTGAGATATTGGACATCCAGACTTCATGATTGGCCTGTAAGGATTCAGTCCAACAATGCCACAGCATTCACATACATCAACCACCAGGGCGGTAGCAGGAGTCAAGGTGCTCAGAAGGAGGTGAACTAAATTCTGACCTGGGCAGAGAGATATGGTCCAAGTCTGTTAGCAGTGTTCATTCCAGGTGTGGAAAATTGGCAGGTGGATTATCTCAGTCGCTGGGAGATGATTCCAGGGGAATGAGCTTTGCATCCCAATGTTTTTACGGAAATCTGCCAGCGATGGGGTTGCCCGGATGTAGATGTATTGGCATTCAGCTTCAACAACAAGGTCGGTCTTTTGGGTCCAGGGTAAGGGACCCTTGCTCGGCAGGGGTAGACGTCTTAGTGATCCCTTGGAACCTTATTGGAGAGATTCCACTGGTCCTGTTGACTCGTACGGTGTTGTTTCTAGTGGCAATGACTTCTGCAAGAAGGGTGTCAGAGCTATTAGCTCTATTTTGCAGAGAACCATTTCTAGTTTTACATCATGATGGGGTGGTGTTGCGACCTCATCCGTGCTTTTTACCAAAGGTGCTGTCAGAGGCGCCTAGGAAGGGGCAGGTGGCATCCAAGGTGACTTTTTTTCATTGGATCCACCAATTGATCATTCAAGCCTATGGTTTGAAAGGTAAAGTTCCATCCTTTTGGGTGAAGGCACACTACACCAGAAGTGTGGGGGCATCTTCGGCAATCCACCATCAGGCGTCAGTGGCTAAGGTTTACAAGGCCACTACACGGTCTTCGGTTCACACATTCACAAGATTCTACCAGGTGGATGTCAGAGCCACAGAGCATTCTGCCGCAGTGTATTATGAATGGCTGAGTAGGTCCTGATGGATTATTGATGGTGGCTGTCATGGTGTCACCCTCCCCTTAAATTTCTTATTGCTTTAGGACATCCCACACAGTCATTAATAACCTGATCTCTGACCCGTGATGTACGATAAAGAAAATTGGATTTTTTTCCTACATGCTTAACTGTAAAATCCATTTCTTGGAGTACATCATGGGACACAGAGGTCCCACCCCCCTTTCTGGAATGTCATTGCTTGCTGCAGAAACTGAGATACTTCCTGCATAGGAGGGGTTACATAGGGGAGGACCTCTTCTCTGATTGGTTGGCCAGTGTCCAGATGGCCTATAACCCACATAGTTATGAATAGCCTGCTCTGCGTCTCATGATGTACTCCAAGAAATAAATTTTACAGGCAAGTATGTAGAAAGAATCCAATTTTTCATTTTACAAATCAGGAGCAGAAATTAGTAAACAATGATTTTTGAACAATTAAAGTGAATTTTGTACAATTTATTGTATGAACTTTCTGAAATCCTTCAGTAAATCAGCCTTTAAGGGGTGTGAATAAGATTCAGGAGGGGGCACAACCTCAGACTAGCAAGAGTAAAGTACAGAACTAATGTTAGAAATTATTTTTTACCAAAAGAATAGGTTATGCTTGGAATATACTTTCAGAAGAGCTAGCGAGCCAGTCAACAGTAAGTGGTTTCAGACATGCTTAGGACATGCTTCGCTGGATGACACATTCTTGTAAAGCCTGAGTAGTAGATTTGAAGGTGGGGGGGGGGATGGGTGGCGGTGCCACACTGGATCAAGCCACACTCATCCACATATTCATGCAATGAGTTGATGAGAAGTGCTCCTTCCTTTCTTTGATGATGTTTAAAGTGATTGTAAAGACTCAAGGATTTTTACCTTCATGTACAGTATTCTATGCATGAAGGTAAAAAACCTTTTCTGTGCAGCATCTCCCCCAGCCCCCCCTACTACTCACCTATGCCCTCTCTCAATCCAGCGATGTGCACTGGTGTCTCGACTATCCCGGGACTCTCTCTCCTCATTGACTGAGACAACAGTGGGAGCAATTGCTATCAATCACTGCCAGTGAGCCAATGAGGAGAGAGAGGAGGCAGGGCCAAGCCACGGCTCCATGTGTGAATGGACACACAGAGCAGCGGCTTGGGTTTATGCCTGCTTGGGTGCCCCAGAGCAAGCTGCTTGCTGTGGGGGCACCCGACAGGAGGGCGGGGCCATGAGCACAGGTGGGGGACCCGAGAAGAGGAGGATCTGGGCTGCTCTGTGCAAGACCACTACACAGAGCAGAAAGTGTGACATGTTTGGTATTATTTTTTCTTTTTTTAATTTAAGCCTTTAGTATCACTTTAACTAGAGTCTTCTGAATGCAGAATTTATCGATGTGGGGGACCTATGACCACTAAGTGATTCTCTCACCTCTACATATTCACCTGATCATTTTCATAGAACACTAGCCTGTTTAGCACTGTTGCTTAGCAGCTCTGGAGTCTCCAATTTGATTCCCAAAGAGGACATAATAAACTTATAAATAAGTTGTAAATTGAATTACATTAATATTTTCTTTGTACACCAGTTTTCTAACTGAAACTACATCTGTGTACCCAACAATCTACACACTGGAAAACTGAAAACAAAAGTGAAAAAAGTGCCAGCAAACTAAATTTCCCATATTTGGCTACATAAAAAGACTAAGAATCAACAGAAACCTAAAGACTTATACTAAAAAATATAAATGAAGTGTCAGGGGCGGACTGACAACTCATGGGGCCCCGGGCAATAAGGGATCATGGGGCCCCTGTGTCCGTGCCCAAACTCAAAAAAGCCTATGAAAAAGGTACCAGGGGCATCTCATGGGGCCCTTTACTGACCCCGGGCCCTCGGGCAGTGCCCGAGTTTCCAAATGATCAGTCCGCCCCTGTGAAGTGTACATACAGACAAACATTTTTGTAGTTTTTGATTTAGTAGGGAAGGATTAGGAAACCTAAACTTTAATGGTTTATTTACTAAAGGAATTTTCCCATAGCTTTGTGAATGAGGTGAAGCTCTGCTGACTTCAGTCACCAATTATGTGCAAGAAACAAAATACTATTTTTTTTCCTTGCATGTGATTTGGCATTCTTTGCAATGTGAGTTTTTACCACTTCCACTAAATTAAAGAAAATATTCCTTGCAAAAAGAAAATTCACTGTAATTTGGTCTGAAAATGAGAGAGAATACAGATTTTTTAGTTGATATTAAAACAGAAATAGATTGGAAATATTCCAATAGTGACACCAGTTCTGTTGACAAGTATCAAAGAGGGGAATATCCCACACTTTGACTCCCTTTCACTTCCTACCTTGTGTCTCTGGAACAGAAATTCATAAAATAAAGAGTTTACTCTGTATGGCTAAACATCACGCAGCCTGACTTGTTTTTGTTCTGGGAACAGAAAAGGAAGTCCTCATACCACTGCTAGAACACAGCACTCTATACTGGATGTAGCTGGTGCTTGGTCCAAACGCACTATTTAACGTCATAGTAAACCTGGAGCAAGGTTTCAATACATCATTAAATTTATTTTTGAAATGCAAGCAGTGTAAGTAACTGTACAGCAGAGCTGGAATGTGAAAGGAAACAACAGCACAAGTAGCCAATCAGTTGTAGGCTCATCACGGTACTGCTTCTCCTTTTTCTATAGTTACAGGCTGGGGTGGGTCCACAACGACCTGGCTTGTAAGTTGGTCCAGTGATGCAAGCCATCAGGCTGTGGACATCTAAAAGTAGAAAAAAAAAATACTGTGGGGGAAATCTCTGAACTGAAGCTGAATATAAAAGCACTGAGAAAATTAGGAGTGAACTAGTTATTTTAAATCTTCATTAATGGCTTTGCAATTTGTATATTTAACTCTTACTTATGGGTTTCCTGCAAGTTCACAGGTTTCTACCCACAATTCATAAACATTAATTGGCTTTATATTGGTTTTTATAATAATTGAACCCAAATTCTGCACGTACACTAAATTGTAATCCCCAATTAAGCAAAATAATATGTGAACAGTTAAAGTTACTGTAATATGCCTGCACTGTCTATCGCTGAAGAGAAAAAAATAAAATGCTACCTTTAAAAATACTGTTGTTTGTAAAATATCATAACCTACCCTTATATATAATATATTCTACATGAATATTTGCTTATCATCCTTGTTCCTCTCTTGTTTGGCACTGAACAAAATGTTTCGTAAAACATCTTATTGACTGCAGCCTCTATAAAGTCAAAAAGCAATTGAGTCACATATATATGCGCATCTGATTTTTCCCACCTTATCTTTAAATCCTATCAAGCTCTTTCAATTCAGTCAAAACTATTGCAAACATCCGTTAAACAGAAATCGCTTTTTGACTATTATTTCTTGTGGTGTTTAAATTTACACTGAGATCAAATACTGGCTTCACGTGAACATAGAGCATTTTTAATAAAAACAGGAACACTTTTTTTTTTTACCAAACTATCCACAGATAGAGAAAGATAAAGGATTAGGTAGGAACGTTACCTTTTCTTTTGTCAAATACCAAGTAGAAACATTGGTTAAAGGCCTTAAAAAAGACCCATTACCACAGGGCAGAAAGTCAAAGAGCTTGGCTGCCCTAATACTCAGTTATCTCGTTTCTGGATAATGGAATGACCCCTCACATGCCCGAGCTGTGCAACAATATAATAGCATAAGCAGTGTGAATAAAGAGGTTATTTTTGGAATCCAATTGAAACAGTGTTGGAGTCTCTTTGACAAGGAAGGAATTGAACAAGATGCAAGGCACACAGTGGAAAAATATTGAATTTAAGGAAGGTGGAACTACTTTTGAGCAGATAAAACAATCTTAAATAGAGACCTCCTGGTTTAAGACAAATGCAGCTAGTCTAGATAAAAGGCAGCCAATTTATTTACTTAAAATAGAAAGTCAGAATGAATTTGGTCAATATATTTGAATTAACCGAGCAATAGAAATGAATATAATATTATACAATCCTTACTATTCTGGTGAATTTTAAAGTTTTTTTAATAACTTCTTACTTGAACTAATCCTTAAAGTGCTTTATAAGAAAACCTGTAGAAAAATTATTAAAAGGACACTCCACTATTAAACCTAATTTCTGTAAATTCTTCTCTTATATGGTTCAGATTTACTTATAGCTGAATGCTAGGCAAATATAAATACAGTTCTATTATCATTAAAACAGCATTAAATGACCAATTCATTTTTTTTTGCAAGCAGTGTAAGTAATAACATTTTTGTCTTGGTATTTTTAGTTGGAGTTTTCCTTTAACTATTCCATTCAGGTAATTTGCAAAAATATTTTTACATTTTGTATATAAAATATATAGAATGCCAGCCGGCTTCTGATAGAAATCCCTAAATCTCACCTATGTAAATTATAGTCTTGTGCTATCTGTTCCTCCCTTGTAAGGTAAATTAAGTGTATGCTCCCTCTTTCTATCTTTCTCTCTATATATAGCACTGCTATGTATAATCCTCCAAATTGAAGCATCAAACATATATAAAATACACAAAGAACAGTAAAAAATTGCTGATATATGGAAGGGGATGTACTAAAACTGGAGCATGCAAAATCTGGTGCAGCTCCGCAAAGAATCCAATCAGCTTCCAGATGTTATTGTCAAAACTTAACTGAACAAGTTGAAGTTAGAAGCTGATTGGCTACCATGCACAGCTGCACCAGATTCTGAGTGTTCCAGTTTTAGTAAATCCTCCTCACAATGTCCACACAGAAGTACTATATACTTTGGAATTCAAAAAGGCTGGCACAGACAAATTTTGTGAAAGCGTCCATCGTGTGTTCTAAAAGTGGTACAGAATGTGCCAAATTCATGTACCTGTCTAGAACTTGTACTTGATTTAGGCTTATGCTGAGCCACTTTTAATATTTACACAAGAAACTTTAGCAAAATTTGTCTGTGCCAGTTTTCTCTCTCTCTCTCTATGCCAAAAGAGAGCTGGTCTTAATTAGCTCCACTTTAGTAAGACACATACTGTTGGTATTTTATTTTTAATTTGCACATTCATTGCATCACATTGTAAAATTGGCACATTTTAGAACTACCTGAATTTTTTGCACAAGTTGCTGTCAGAACCAATCGTGTTGCATATATATAGTTACATAATTACATAGTTGGTAAGGTTGAATAAAGACACCAGCCCATCCAGTTCAACCTGTGTAGGTGCGTGTGTTCTTGTAAAAAATAATTTCCTATATCTCTCTATACTGTGTTTGCTAAGATGCCCATCTAAGAGTTTTTTTAAACTGTCAATACTTTCTGCTGACACCATCAATTGTGGAAGTGAGTTCCACATCCTTACTGCCCTGATAGTGAACCCCCCCCCCCCAGCTTGGCATTGCATGCCATTGTTGAGTCTGTCTTCTGCTAGGACCCGCAGATCTTTTTCCATCCTGGTTTCCCACAAAGGTTCTCCCCTTAGCTGTAGTTGCACACCGCTTTATTTTATTGAGGAAGTCATTCCCCTGCTTAGCTTTGTATCGTCAGGAAACACTGACATTGAGCTATTTAAACCAACCTCCATATCATTTATGAATAAATTAAAGAAAATTGCTCCCATGACAGAGCCTTGGGGTACCCCAATTACCACTCCAGACCAGTCTAAGTACAAACTATTTATCACCACCATCACTACCTTTTGGATACACCCCTGTAACCAGTTTTCTATCCATGAACATAACCTGACTGAGTTCTTTGAGGACTCTTGGGTGTATGCCACCTAGTCCTGGTGATTTATTTGTGTTAGATTTTTCAAGTCTTTTTGGAACACTGGCTTCTGTTAGCCACAAGGGTACATTCTGTGATGCGTTACTAATGATACAGTCTTAATTGCTATACCCCTACTTTTCCTTTGTAAAATCTGAGGAGAAGAATGAATTGAGCACAGTTGTCTTCTTGTCATTTGTAACCAACTTCCCTTCATCATCCTTTATCCTGATCACTGCTGGGCTTTTTATTTTTTGTGATATAAAAAAAAAAAAAAAATTGTTATTATAGCACTTTCTGCTAATAAACATATCCAATAATTTTTTTTGTAAATCTAATTTCCTTCTAAATGTTGGCCAGAATGTATTCTACTACATGTCTTTGATAAAAAAAAACCCCAACAAGTGTATATTGATTAGTGATGGGCTGCATGTTCAAGTTGAACGTAAGTTCCACTCAAACATGGGCCGTTCATGTGTTCAATGAACACACAAATGGTATGGGAGTTTGATGGACTGTTCGCTTGCAGTGCCCCACAATGCACTGTGCCCTGACTGTGCATTGTGATTGGCCAAAGCATTGGACCTGACCACATAAGAGGTCCAATGCTTTGGCTAATCACAGGGCATGATGATGTCACAAGGGGACTGGGCGATCCCACCCCCTTGTGACGTCATCACCCTATTTAAGAACTGTCATCGCAGTGCAGCTATCAGATGGTGGGAGCCAGCTTCTAGAGCAGAGCCAATTTTTTACTTTTTTTTGGGTTGGCGATGGCATTGCAATTGACATTGAATCTATTTCAGGGGGCATTTTTTTTTTATTTTTAATAAAGGACTTATCAAAGACTGTCTCCTGTCTTTTTTTACACTGGGATCTGGAGGCCCCCTGCCCCAAAGCACCCCCCCATGTTGAAGGCATGTGGTCTGGTATAGTTCAGGAGGGGTGCGCTCGCTAGTCCCCTCCTTTCTTGACCTGCTGGGCTGCATACTCGGATAAGGGTCTTTTATAGATTTTGGGGTCCCCATGCCATTTTTGGGGGGTTCCCCTCAAAATTCATTCCAGACTCGAAGGGCTTGGTTTGGATGGGAGGTGGACCCCACACCCTTTTTTATTTATTTTTTTTAATTGTCAGGCAATGCCGGCAATTCTTTTAACATTC